CATATGCTTTTCAACTTGTAAAAGGGAAATACAATTTTCAGTTATAACAGTGTATCAGTAATAATTTTTGCTGCTTTTCATCTGCTTTTCATCATGTGAAAAGTCAGTACTATAAAAGTAAAATGTATTTTTCCTTAATACGAAAGCTGATTGGCAACGCTGCACAAGAACAATAATCTTTTTAATCAGGTATATGTGTGAAGTTTTTGTTCAGTTTCGATGCTGAATTTTCATGAAATACACAGTGATAAACAGTGTATGAACACTTGTACCAGATTTTTCTCAACATTAAATAAAGGAAGTACAATAATACAAAATTGTGTAAATATTCAAAGTTCATTTAATTTACCTCACAATTTTGAAAAATACTAAGGATAAATCCTGTTTTTTTTTTTTGCCTCGATCAAGATGACAAGGCGAAGATACCTACATCTTGGTTAGAACTCAGTATCAAAACAACTTTACTTTTCCTGTCGGATCTTTCTGTGTTTTTTTACTTTGTTTATAGAAATGTGAATAATTTAGTTCTGTTGATGTGACAGAGGAAATTCAATTTCTTCTTTCAAATGCATCTTACATAGCTGTGCTTTATTTGTTTTTAAGTATCTCGACATATACAATAACTGTATTCATACCAGACAAAGTTGTAAGGCAGCAGTCATTTAAAAAAGTTAAATATATAGTTTTCATGTTCTCATATATTTGAATTAAAGCACAAACAAATCACTGCAATAATCCCTCAGGACTTTTTCTTCACACTGATGGTTTGAAAATAAAAGAACATGCATTGTTAGAAAACCAATAATAACCAATAATAAAATAGAAGTGTCTTATATATTTGGAAATTAATATTATTGTTCTCATGGAACAACAGACACCCACATGTTCTATAATAATGAAATTGTTACTATTTATTTAATAAACACAGTAATAATACAAAAACAATCCAGCACACAATGCGTTCCTTCCTCTTTTTTTTCTTTTTATTATCATTTCTTACATTGCATACAAACATATTTACAAAACAAAAAACGTATTTACCACAAACCAAATACATTATAATAATATGACAATAGTTAGGTAGCAGCCAAATGCCCAGCGGGGCAGCGAAAAGACACACACACTCAATCACTAACTCTCTCTCTCACACACACACACACACACACACACACACACACACACACACACACACACACACACACACACACACACACACACACACACACACAGGTGAAGGAAGTGCAGTTTGTCTCTTGGTTCTCTTGTTTCAGGGAGGTCAACTGTGTGACAGACGGAGGTGACACCTTTCCAGCTTGAGACTTCTCATCGGGTCATGACGTCTTGGCCCAGGCATTTTTGTTTATTGTTTATTATGTACCCCATAACATGCCAAAATGTATCCTTTCAGTATTGTACTCCTACTGTTAAAGCTACTCGACTACACACACACACACACACACACACAGTCACTCCCTCTCTCTCCCTCTCACACATGCTCACTCACACACACACACACACACACACACACACACACACACACACACACACACACACACAATAATATCTTCTATCACATATACTGATCACTTAGTTGAGCAACCACATACTTTCAATACATGTTTTACTTTTGTAACTCTCGATGTTTCTGACAAATAGAACTCCTCGTGTACTTGTATAGCTAGCCAGCCAGTCATATTTTGACACTTTAAGTGGGGTGCTGCTCTGAGGTTTTGAGTGATATTACCTAGGATTTCTTGAGCCATATACTGTCTTGAGATCTTCTTGTTTCCTTGAATTGTGATTTTTGACTGAAAGGGCAAAATGCTAGACCTACTTTGGTTGAACTAGCTGCATCCCTGCTTTTGACAAATAGGTGCGATTGACATGCCAGATTGAATGAAAATAAAAAAAATAGGGTTGGGTTGTTGTGTTGTTACTGTACGTGTTGGTACGTGGGTTAAGGGGCCCTGAGCTCTCAGTGCCCAGGGCCCCTGGAGGTACTAATCCGGCCTTGTCTGATGCCCATTTGTGTGTTAGTATGGAAACAGTGTTGTCATGTTGAGAAAATAGTTTGTACATTTATACTTATATATTTTTGGGTTGTGGTGAACATAGTTCTAGTAATAACGAAGGCTGTAGATTGTCAAAGTTTTTCATATCTATTCTCTTATATGGCCTCGCTCCTTCAAATGTAGTGACTGAAAGTGACAGTGGTGGTGTAAATCATATGTTTATATGACTTGGTTACAATTGCTAAGAGAGCTGCTATTAGCCACGTTCACATTGGAGTACTTTTCCCACAATAGTTAATCAGAACTCAGATATATTTGCGTTCACACCAAAAAGCCCCCTGAACTAAATTAGTTAATCAGAACCATTTTTACCCGCTTTTCAGTCCCTGCTAGAGAGCAGGGACTTTCGTGGGAGAAAAAGGTTCCTATGTCTGATTGGCTGGGCGGAATGCAAACCACGCCCCGTAAAACTCCCAAAAAGTTTTGTGAAGCCGCCATTTTATTATCCTCGCATTAGCATTATTAGCATTAGCATTAGCCCAGCGCACAAACGCAGAGAGATTAACTTATGGCAACACAAAAGAAAACATGGGAGCGGTGGAGATGAGGAGGTGTCGGCGTTCTGGCGATTTACTCGGAAGGCTTCAGTTGAAGCCGCTGGGAGTCCCAGCAGCTGGTGGCAGTATACACCGTGAAGTGGTTTGCGGCCTGCCAGTAAACCCAAAGCAGAAGAAGAAGAAGTGACGTCAGCGACACCTTGCGTGACGAGCAAACCGTTTAATCAACCTGTACTGTACTGTAGCTAGCAGCAGCAAGTTCGGTAGCATTATAAAAAATGTAATAGATTGCATTTATAATGTACAGCAAACCAAAGCACAAGAGCAGCGCTCAAAAGAGAAAGGACAAGAGAGAACAAGGAGATTTAACAGCTAAACTGACAAAATTAGACGTTTTTTTTGTCATACATCGTCCTCGAAATCGAGCGCTAACGTTAGCAATGTTGACGTGCAGCGGCAGCCGGAACCGGAGGCTAACGATAGTTCACCACCATCATTGCCATCTAGCTCCACAAGTGAAGCTGTATCCGTGGCCATGGCTGTGCAACCTTCTTCTCCTGCCAGCCAGGAGGAGAGGCTGGATTTGGCTCTGCCCGGCGGTGGTCCAACAGTTCCCCCAAGGGCCCCAACTGATAGGGGACTCTATGGCGCTATTGAGACCCCCGACGCCAAGATCAAAAGCTGTATTATAGCAACCGGTCTATGTAAGCCTACCGGCCCATTCCCCAGAGACAAACATCAAGGAAACAGGTTTAATCCTCTTCTTAGTTCGCTGTGCCGTTGTCAGGCTGTGGTGGTCTGAGGCCAGGGCAGATTGTTGTTGATAGCCTATACATGTGGCGCTTCTGAGTGGTTATGTATGTCCGTGCATGTGTGAGCGCATCAGCGTGCTTATGTTTGGGGCGATGAGAGGGGGGGGGTTATTGCCACTCGTCGACTGAAGTAGTTGCGGTGTGTTCGTAGGCGGGCGGCGTAGGCGGCGTAGGCGGCGTAGGCGACGCAGGCGTAGCTGACGTAAAAGTCGGGACGCCTTCGGTATGCGTTCTTTGGTCTCAGGTGGGTGTGTAGCGGCCTTACCCAAAGCCTCCAAATCAATGCAGCACTTTCTGTTTGGACTGGATCAGTAGGACACACCTCTTTTTTTTAACAATTCTAAAATATTTTTGTATATTATACGAAAATTATTAAATTAAAATAAGCATATATTAATTGAAAACTACATCTACTCAAAATAAGTTGTATTACTACACATGAAAAGCACATCTCTTTTGGGGGGGATTTTGTCCCATATTTTATTTTATATTAATATTTATGAACGATTTTGCTTTTTAAAGTTAAGATAGCTAACCTTTAAACGTACCCTTCTGGATTTATTGAGGAAGCAACGAGAACATATTTCTTTATTGCTAAAATGACATGTATTTTATAATCATCTACCTTTGGTTTCTGATAAGTGTTTGTTTATCTCAGACAATAAACAACCTCAGTGAGATCACTTTATCTTACTATGGAATGAATGTTTAAACAAGTACAGATGATAATTATGTTGTTTACATTGACTTGTTTTTACTGACACTGTTAACTGCCACGAGGTGATTTTAATGTTTGTCTATTCATATTGTAGTTTTTAAATTGTAATTGAAACACAGAGATTTCCTACACACACACACCATCAAGAATCAAGAATTGCATTTCAACAATAAGTCAAAAGTAAAAGCTTGTTTAGGTTCAAGGTTCTTTATTGTCAATCTGACATAGCTACAGAGTAATTATGTAGTTGAAAATCTTATGTCACAGGCTTCTCCAACAATGCAACATAATAACATAATAACAATAAGAACAAGAGCAATACAAAAGAAAAATAGTTATAAAATAAAGTGATGAATAGTGCAGTACAAGTCTATATACAAGTTATTGGAATGATATATATATATTAGGTATTAGATACATAATACTGAGTAGCAGATGAATGTTTTGAAGTTGTTTCAACAGTTCAATTTTTTAACAGTCTCACTGCCCGCGGGAAGAAACTGTCTCCGAATCTTCTTGTCCTTGCCAGGATGCTGCGGTACTACTATTTACTATTGTTACTATTGTGTGCTGTGTTTTCAAAGATGTTTTCAAGATGCTCCAATATGTTTATCAGAAGGACATTTTTGTACATTTATGAGGCTGTGTTGGATCCTTGAAATGTCCTATAATTTGATTTCTAAGAAGGTGTAGCAACACTAAATATACTTTTTGAATGTTGGTAAACTGATTATTAAGTTTGCTAGACTCCATCATACAGGCACTGTACTTGTAGATCATTTACGTTTGTCTGCTGTGTTTTTACTGTTTTCCTGAGAACATGCTCATATTTCCACATGTTTATGGTCAATATTTTCAGTAATGATTGATCAGCAGAAGACACTATATAAAGCTGGGATTACCACAGAAACTCTAAAGTAGATCTGAACAGACTGCCACTTTGAGAATGGAGATGACCATGTGTTTTCCTCTGTTGCTGCTGATCTGCTCTCTCTCTACGGCTCAGCTTCAGTCTGACAATGAAATTGTTCCACATCATGCTGAATCCCAGGGAGGAGAACCAACAAATGTGTCTGAGCACCAACAGACCTGTCCTCAAGACATCCACGCTGTGCTGAGAGAGATGAGCGCCTCTTTGGCTGAACAGAGGGTGGAGATGAGGCACCTTCAGAGAGAGAATGAAGGTACTGTGTAAGGTGGGGAAATGTGGAAACTGTTGCGTTGTTACAGGAGGTTCTTGTATAAAGTTGTTTCGCTATGCCATTTTACAGTATAACTTGCAGCTAATGATACTGTTCTAGCTCTTTACACTCTTCTGAATAGAATAGAATAGAATCAGAGGGATGAATCCCTCTTTAATTGTCACACATACATGCACACAGTGACATTTGACCTCTGCATTTAACCCATCATAATAGCAGTAGGCAGCTATAGCACAGCACTGTTTGCTAAATGTAGAGATCACAACAGTAGTTAAAGTTTTCAGGGAACCTCATTTAGCTTTCTTCTCAAAGTTGCATGTGTAAGAATACATGAATTAACAAATGTAACATATTTCAGTCTGAAAAACTCTTGTTATATGCTTGTTCACCTTTTTATTTTAAAACAACATCAATAATCTGATGTTGTAGAGAACGTGTCCGACAATCACATTAATTGCCACATGTATGTTAAAGGTGGGGTAGGTAATTTTGGAGAAACCAGCTCGAGTGCGCTAGAATTTGAAAATACAGCCGGAACAAATCTGCCACTTCCTTACAGAGCCCCTCCTCCAACACACATATATTAGAACAAATATAACAGATGCAACAGAAATGTATTATAATACATTATATATAAAACATTTTAAAAACGAAATGTACCATAGGCAAAGCTAACCTTGATAATGAGAGTGATGATGAAATACTTGTAACTATCAAACACTATTTCTTTCAGACACAAATATGTAATGACGTCACTTTTTTCACAGTACAAGCAGCAGAGCTGATCACTGTGAAAGCCAGGTCATATGTCACAGAAAACCAGGTGGAGGCTCTGAAGAGAGACGCAGAAGGTAAAACATAGATCTGAAATATTTAATTACGTTTTGAACAGACCTATTCTCAAATATGTGCACATTTAAAAACTTGAATTCACAGTAAAAAACAATAAAATGACTCCCTCTCCTTTCTCTCAGTCAAACAGGTGGCTTTCTCAGCCTCTCTGTATTCAGGCTCAGGAACAACTTTCGGACCATTTTACACTTACACTAATCTGGTCTTCAGATACATCTTCTCAAACATTGGGAATGCCTACAACCCAAACACAGGTACTCAAATTTCCACACTCTAAATCACAAAATCAAACGTTTTTGGCTATGCACAATTCAAATCAACAAACACATTTCAAGTTACCTTCACTGAACATTTTTTTCCCACAGGTTCTTTTATTGCACCAGTGAGAGGATCCTACCACTTTGAGTTCTACATTGGTGCTAACGGACATTCTTCACATCCTTCAGCTGCTGCGTTGTTCAAGAACAGAGAGAGAGTTTGTACTGCATGGGAACATCAGCCTTCAGGTTACGGAACATCTGCAAATGGTGCCACGCTGCTTCTAGAGGTCGGAGATGTTGTGTTTTTGCGTTTGATCGAAAACTCAAGGATATATGACAGTGACAATCATTATAGTACCTTTAGTGGTCATCTGCTTTTCACCATGTAAAACGGAAAACATTTTCCTGCTATAAAAGTATATCAGTACTTTTTTTTACTTGATTATTAAATCTGATTGACCATGCTGCACAGCAACAACAATATTTTGACGAGAAAAGTCTCATGAAATTATCAATCTCTCTCTTGGTTTGCAGGAGAAAAGGGTCTCTCTTTTACTGCTAATTCTGTGCTGTTTTTTTTATATGTTCATTAGAAACATCAATGATCTTGTGCTGTTGATGTGAGGGGGAAATATCCTTTGATTCAGTTTTTTTTATAAGTATATAATTATCTCAACATATAAGAGTACTGCATTACTACCAGAACAATTACATTCTCTGACAGTATTGGTACTATACATCAACGACAAAGCTTCACAGTAAAAACCTTTTATACACTTTAAATATGTTATTTTCAAGGTACTCTTATATTTGAATAAAAGCAAAGACATACTGTATGACTGCAAAACTATCTACTTTGTATGCTTTATCTGCTTGGGAATAAGAAATACAAAATTAACCAAAGGTTTTGTTATGGTGTAACAACAGATAACCCACTGATCATATACAGTGCATGTATATAATTGTAATATAGTAACCATGTTATTAAAAAACACAGTAATCAAGTTGAAACAGACGGATGTTTAACTCCAGGACAACAAACACACAGGACAAACTGCATTACTTCCAAACAAACTGTGAAACTGAGATGTTGTAAACATATTTTCTGTCAGCAACTCGGTGAAAACAGAACTACATTGTAAAGCGAGGCCTTTAGGGAACCAATTTGAACACAGATGGCATCATTATTCAACAGTCAATACATTTTTCAATCAACATACTTCATAAAGATAAGTTAAAACAAAAATGTGTCTATTTCTACTTTTAAGGAGTTTTCTTCATCTCAAGATACAAAGGTTTATCGTTATATCATAAACACAACTACGGTCTAGTATGTCATTAATTAAAAACGGGGTTCACAGGTTCCTCAACAATGCAATTAGTAAGGGATAATGTGCAGTGAGGCGGTCATTATGGGGAAAAGAACACCCGACAGTGTTCGTGATCCTGATCTGCCTGTCGGGTGTTCTTTTACCCATAATGACCGCCTTGCTGCACATTATCCCTGACTTATGGCCTGTGGGATGCAACTGTCCCTGAGTCTGGTGGTTTTAGTCCGGATGCTGCCGTACCGCCTGCCAGACGGCAGCAGACGGAACAGTTTGTGGCTGGAGTGATGGGGGTCTTTTATAATCCTGAGGGCTTTCTTCCTGAGCTGCTGGGAGTAAAGATCCTCCATGGATGGCAGCTCCGTCCTGGTGATGTGCTGTGCAGTTTTCACCACCCTCTGTCGAGTCTTACGGTTGAGGTCGGTGCAGTTGCCGTACCAGGCCATGATGCAGCTGTTGTGGCGATCCAGCATAACACAACAGGAAAGAATGAAACAGAGAGGAATCAATAAAACACAAACACAGATATAGCTGATCAGTAATTATTATTTAGTTGTTGCAACAAACAAACAATAATGGGGAGTACATCACCTGCTGCCACAGCAGCCAATCGCGGAAATGCCCCCCGTCAGTAGCAACAATCATACAGCATATATAGCCACTGCAATGAACACACACACATTTTCCCATACCATGTTTAACGCACACACATTTTATCATGCAGCCTACCACACAAATGTCACATGTTTTTCTCTCTGAAAGCTATACTTGTATATGTTTAAACGTCATCATCTCATGACATCCTTAGGAGTAGTAAACTAACAAAGGTTAACTGTTTTTATAACCTGAGGCCTTCTCTGAACTTCCTCTAACCTCGGTGTCAGCTCACTTAAAATGAATACATGTATTGATAATTCAGAACGACCACTGTCTCTCTAACTCTGTGTGACCCAACTCAATAACACACATCATATGGAATACCATGTGATCTCAATGAATATCAGAAATATGCTGTATTAAACATTCTGCTATAACACAGCCAGTCAGGATACTTTCTACGGTGCACCTGTTAATGTTAGTATAATGATCTCTACTGTTCAGATCTAGATTTAAATTGCAGTTTTATCAGATCTCAGGCTCTATGAACACAGTCGCTCTGATCTATTTTCAGATGAGAAGCTTTGCACTTTGTCATATTTTGACTTTATGACTTAACACTTGTCCTTTGTCTTGGGAGAGAGTGTTTAATATCATTTAGGAAAATGTAGGTTGTGCTGAAGATCAGATAAAGTGCACATAAGACTGCTACTTCCTGCCTGTGGATGTTGTATAATATTGTGTTGTTCTTTAAAAGTCAGACTTTGTAACTGTACTGGATTTATTGAGGAAGCAAAGTGAGAAAATATATTTTATAATCATCTTCATTTGGAGAGTCTTTTATCATATCACCTAATGAACTGCCTCATTGAGGTCACTTTATCTCACTGTCATTAATGTTTGAACAAGTAGATGATAATTAGTTTGTTGACATTGATCTATTTTCACTGACCAGCCATGAAGTGATTTTAATAAACATTTTATAATATTTGATAACCCACGTTATATTTTTTTAATTGTTTTATAAAGAATACTAAAATAATACCACAATATTTCCTTCACACTAATGCACACCATTCATTGTATATATTATAATAAACAATGTTTGGCCTTTAGAGTTATTGAAAATGCACATTGGCAATTAAATGTGTTTGAGTTTATATATATATTGTACATTGTTGAACATTTCAGCGAATTAATTTGTTCTTCAACTTGTAAACAAGCCTATGTCTCTGTTGCTCAACCTACATATTGCTTTGCTGTGTTAGAGAAAGCAAGAGACAGTCTGCCATCACTGTAACTCTTTCTCTTTCGTTGTCTCTGAGCTTCTGTAAAGCCTGCTCGTTCTCACAACAGTAATCTACTCTGATCAGTGTCTCAAACTATACTTTGTTGGGTCCTTGAATTTGAGGGAATATGGCCTGTAAAGTCCTTGAAAAGTAATTGAATTCAATTTTTAGGAAGGTAAGGGATTAGTGAATACATGTTTTAACAATGTGATAAACTAATTATTAAAAGATTTGGGACCTACACTCCATCATACAGGTACAAGTAAATAATTGATGTTTGTGTGCTGTGTTTTTATTGTTGTTTTCCTGATACGTTGCTCAAAGTACTAAGTTGTTCAGTTTCTGTTTTGAAAAGCGTCATTTCTTTTCTATAGCTTCCATGTCATGTTACCCAAAGCCTCCAAATCAATGCAGCATTTTCTGTTTGGACCGGATCAGTAGGACACACGTCTTTTTTTTTACAATTGTAGAATCCTTTTGTATATCGTACGAAGATTATTAAATTGAAATAAAGCATATATTCATTGAAAACTACATCCACTCAATATCAAGTGTATTAAAACACATCTCTTTTTTGGGGGGATTTTCTCCCATATTTTATTTTATATTAATATTTATAAAGGTTTTTGCTTTTTAAAGTTAAGATAGCTAACCTTTAAACTTACCCTTCTGGATTTATTGAGGAAGCAACGAGAAAATATTCCTTTATTGCTAAAATAACATGTATTGTCATACTGATATTCTGTACAAACTGTGAAGTCCACCTTTATATACAAATATGTTAGTGATCTATTTTATGAAATAAATGACAGAGCACTGGAGCTCTGTGATTGGATCATCTCATTATTATGTTCTTGATCTTTGCTTTTTTCGTTCTATAATAGAGCCGGGTTATACACACACACACACACACACACACACACACACACACACACACACACACACACACACACACGCTCAGTGGAAAGCATCTTGGTCAGGATGGATTTTTTTGTTTTTTCTTTGTTTCCTCTGAAAACGACACCTGAACATCAGCAGGAGAGGACTCTTTAAAGTAGAGACACTACATACTGATATACACCTGAACATCAGCAGGAGAGGACTCTTTAAAGTATAGACACTACATACTGATACACACCTGAACATCAGCAGGAGAGGACTCTTTAAAGTAGAGACACTACATACTGATATACACCTGAACATCAGCAGGAGAGGACTCTTTAAAGTAGAGACACTACATACTGATATACACCTGAACATCAGCAGGAGAGGACTCTTTAAAGTAGAGACACTACATACTGATATACACCTGAACATTAGCAGGAGAGGACTCTTTAAAGTATAGACACTACATACTGATATACACCTGAACATCAGCAGGAGAGGACTCTTTAAAGTATAGACACTACATACTGATATACACCTGAACATTAGCAGGAGAGGACTCTTTAAAGTATAGACACTACATACTGATATACACCTGAACATCAGCAGGAGAGGACTCTTTAAAGTATAGACACTACATACTGATATACACCTGAACATCAGCAGGAGAGGACTCTTTAAAGTATAGACACTACATACTGATATACACCTGAACATTAGCAGGAGAGGACTCTTTAAAGTATAGACACTACATACTGATATACACCTGAACATCAGCAGGAGAGGACTCTTTAAAGTAGAGACACTACATACTGATATACACCTGAACATTAGCAGGAGAGGACTCTTTAAAGTATAGACACTACATACTGATATACACCTGAACATCAGCAGGAGAGGACTCTTTAAAGTATAGACACTACATACTGATATACACCTGAACATCAGCAGGAGAGGACTCTTTAAAGTATAGACACTACATACTGATATACACCTGAACATCAGCAGGAGAGGACTCTTTAAAGTAGAGACACTTGTTGAGATCTCCATATTAGGTTGAATAATTAAAACGAAAGTTAGTTATAATCAAATATAATCAATTATATTCTTGTATAACCCACAATGAAAATGCTTCATATTTTATGATTTTCTACATTTACAGTATAAACAAAGTGGTTTGTTAAGTTGAGTGTAAGGCCTGTAATGGTTATGGTTTATGGGTGTCACTGATAAGAGAAGAGGCAGTTTCTTCCCTCTCCCCTCACAGCAGTATACAGGGAGGGGGGCTCCTGACTTAAGGAGAAATACATTGAGGCCCCAAAAAGGTGGTTATGTCATAGCCGAGAATAATATTTTGCAAGTCCTGCAGAGTAGGGGTCATGAACTTTTTACACAAACATGAGAAGGTGTGTCTTATGCCATAGCCATATAATATGTCTGGTCATGTCCAGTCAGGTACATCAGAGGCCATGCCCAGTTTCCACAAATATGGGTATGGAGGAGGTGTCTTTAGGTTTTTCTATCCTGTTTTTGAGCATAAAGACACTGGCGGAGAGGGAGCTAACGAGAGAGAGAGAGAGAGAGAGAGAGAGAGGGGGGGGGGGGTTCCCCTGGTATACTCTCTCCCGGTAAAGCTCTCTCCCTGGAGAGCTGGGTTTTTGCTCTCGGTAAGGTTCTCTCAAACTAGGTAAATATCTCTTGAATTTCTGGGTTGAATGAGTGGAATGAATTGATATGTGTTTGTGAGTATTAGTACCCGCCACCTGTGAGGATCTTCCTCCGAATTCATGCGGAATATAGGTATGTGTTTGTGATTGTTAGTAGCCGCCATCTGTACCCGCCACCTGTGAGGATCTTCCTCCGAATTCATGCGGAATATAGGTATGTGTTTGTGATTGTTAGTACCCGCCATCTGTACCCGCCAACTGTGAGGATCTTCCTCCGAATTCATGCGGAATATAGGTATGTGTTTGTGAATGTTAGTCCCGCCACCTGTCGGAATATACTGTATGTCGTTTATTCAGATTCTTTCGACAATATTATAGAATTTGTTGTTTTTTGCATATTTTCATAATAATATTATTTCTGATATTTTCGACTTTCAACTATAATACTTATTTTTCATATATTCTGGAC